TTTGTCCGTGCTTTTGTTGATTTAATTTTTGGCTTGGGATATTGCCTATTCTCAATTTTTATTTTTTTTTTTCTGAATGGAAAAGATGGATGTTCATGTTCCGATACGTGTTACTTTGTCCGGAGATAATTACAGTCTATTGGCACAATCGATGAAAAGTTTCTTGATAGGCAGAAAGTTATGACGGATTGTTACAAGCGATATAGTCGCTCCCGTTGCTCCTATTTCTATAGGAGAAGCTAAGCCTACCCCTAAAGCTGTTCAATCATATATTGAGAAATTGGATGATTGGGATAGTAAGAATCATCAGATTCTTACCTGGCTGCGCAACACATCTACTCCAATAATCCAGGTTTAGCTTGCCCAATTGATGTCCCCTACGAGCAACACTTGATGATGATACTTTTCTCTTTCCTTTAGTATTTTTTCCTGTCACGGATTAAAGCAGATTAATAAATAATTAATTATACTTTTTACAAAAATTGAAGTATAAAGCATAGTAATGCAAGAAATTTCTAATAACATATATATCTACTTTCACGAACCTAAATGTTCAAGTAGACCAAAGTTGAAAGAGTTAAATTCACTACTTAACCAATACTTAAGGCTTATATACCGTTGATTTTCATCTTAGTTACAAAAATTTATGATATAGCAAGATAGATAGAAGAAGATTTTACACTAAAGGAGGTGGCCCAAAAACCCTCACGGCTTTTTCCGGAGAATAAACCTTGCATGATCTTCGTACCATCAGTTCGTAACCTATTTATATATAAATATTTACAAGGTGCCAGAGACAACTGCTTGTATTTATGGAAGTTATTCTAACAATGATAATTTTAATTGAAACAAATACAATGAAATTACAACAAAGGCACAAAACGTCATCATCTTGTATTAAACCTTCTAGGTATTTCTGCTAAAAAATAAAGATGCAGTGAAACATTAACAACCATTTGTAAAGATTTTGAAAAAAAATCCATTAATATATATATATATATATCATTAGAATGCAAAAAAAAGTTAGAAAATATACCCTCTCATAGACAATATACAAGTCATATGTGTTGATACAGAGTAAAACGGTTGGGGTCTGTGAGTTAATTAAGTAAATGTGGAATGTATTGTATATTGCTGAGAGAAGTAGGTAGAAAGGGATGTATTTGTGTATCACTTAGTAAAGAGGGCACAACTTTTGCAGCAAGAAATAGAAAGTTCTAGTCTTAGGGGGCTTTCTCTTCTTCTAACCATCATAGCTTCTAATTCTCTATATCCGAGTTTGAGTTAGTGTCATCATTAACATCTCTTTTTGTACATAACATCCCGTTTTCGAAATTATTCATTGGAGCCCCACTGCTCTTTTATATATACTTCGGGTGCTTGTATGTGTATGTGTTTTATTATTTTGTTTAATATTATTTTAATATGATATTTAGTAATAAAATATAAATATTGCATAGTAGAACTAAAAAAAATAATTATAGAATCCTAATCAAATAAATTTTATTGAAATGTAGTTAAATGATGCCGAATCCAATCATGGTGATTTTACAAAATTAATAAATCATATATTCCCTATTACGAAGATCAACTTCTTATGATATCCAAAATCAGTAAACGTTTTGTTGCCAACATAATTCGCAAGAAGATTTGAATTTGTTGCAAAATACAATTGCATATGGGTGGGTATTACACCAATAATTTGTCACAAATTACAAGTAGATTTTAATTTGTTGCAAAAGACGATTGCATGCATATGGGTGGGTATTACACCAATAATGTGTAAGAAATTACAAGTAGAGATTTATCAAATAAATGATTCTTGATTAATGCAATTTTGTAATCTCACTGGCATAACCTTATTCAGAAGTAGGTAAGTTTGAAGTATAAATAATAACACAAGACATACTCCATCATGCACAACAGTTATAAAACTAACGACATATACAATAACCACAACATAATTCATTTACCTTATTAAGTGGCTATGGCAAAGAACATGATGTTTGGTGTGCTTTTACTCATTTTGGCAGGTGCATACATACATATTGCAAAATCTATAAACATTAATAATGTTGCGGGGATCAATAAATCTTATTAATGCATAGGGATTTTAATTAAACAATAATTTTTTTCTTTTTCTTATAAATTTTTATGTACTAATATAAATAATAATAATTATAACTTCTATTGTCTAAAATCAATTTGTTATCGCACTTATTTTATGCCAATCTGTTAGGAGTTTACCAATATTTCAAATCATGGAATCTTCTAAAATGTATATATATCTCTTCAAAAAAACTTATTATCTTAATAATTGACTCAAAATGATCTTTTTTTCAAACTGGTTCATGTGAGGACCGGAAAAAATCATTTTATCAAGATGATTAATTAATTGACTGTTATGATGATTATGCAATATACTAAAGTGATGGCCGGGAGCGTAATCGAGGAAGTGAGTGGGCAGAAGAAATGCACAGCGGTGCTGAACCATGGTCAGACTGGCTGTGTTACCGGAACATGCCAGGCACAATGCCAAAAACAGTACAATGGCAATGGCTTCTGCACGGTCAACCCCTCCGGTTCTATCTGCACTTGCGTCTACAATTGTTAATTATTATTGTATACATGTTCATGTATTATGCTAGAGCAGATAAGATGTGATCACACACAATAAGTAAAAATACTCATGGTTAATTACAAAATTAAACATAAAATAAATGTGATTGAAACAAAAATTTAAAAATATATGTTGTCGGTAACATACTTGTACTAAAAACTAAAAAAACAACCAATCCATGAAACATATATAAATCGTACAACTATAGGTATAAACATATATAAATGGTACAACTTAGGGGTATTTGTTTATCATGAATCAAAAATTTTGAGGAAAATTGAATAGCTTGAATTACAAAATTTTACACAGTTCCTTATAATACAATGGAAAATTAGTCATATTCATAATCGCTCCTACTTTTATATTACATTAAATATTATTATTTTTCTGGTTATTGTTATTGTATTTAATTAAACTTGCTGTATGAAAAAATAAGTAATGTTATATTAATTACTACCGAAATTTGATTTCGAATTAAGTTCCACGACAATTAATAGCTATAACTATTTAGTGACGATGTTAAGTTATAGTTTCTTGCAATGAGTGTCCCATGTGTATTATTTGTGGAGAATGACACAAATTGCTTTTTGTCACTATCTAAGGTAGCGACACAAATAACAATAATATCCACAATATTTTTATTTTATACTTTTTGTTTCAATTAAATGATGGTAAATTTAATTTGTTACAGTAATATTGTTATAAAATTTTTCCATGCATAATTTAAATTGAGGGACAAATAATAAAAATTTCTAAAATATTTTCAATTCGTAGAAACAATACTAATGTATACAATTTTTCGGACTCTTAAGTTACCAAATAAGTAATAGTAACATTTACAATTTTTTCACTGTCATAGGATCTAATTCACATCTACGTAAAGTAAGAATAAAAATGATGAAAACATCCATATTTTTTACTTTCTAGAAGTATTTTAATTGAATATTTTTAATATTTAAAATCATGTCATAAATAAAAAATATTTGCAACATCCTGATTGGTACATATGTTTCTATGAAATTTTTTCATTATTATTTAACGTCACATTATAAATAATATAATTTTGATTTTATTTTAATTAATTAATACATTCTAGTTTAATTTATTGCAAATATTGTGACAAACTATTATCCATTACTCTATAAACAAAAGATTTACATATTGTTAACTCTAAGATTTTCTATACTATATGTGTTAGAGTAAGAAAAATCAATATGTAGGGTTTTCGAGAATGGGCCTATAAAATTGAATTAAGGATTGGTGTAGAGTCTAATGAGCCTATAAACTTGGATTAAGGATTGATGTAGAGTCTAATGGGCCTATCAATAGAAGTGGGACCTTAAAAATGGGTCTAATATGAGCCCAAGTATTATTAAGAGATGGGTTTCCTCGGAAAAAGCCTATGAGTATGAAGTCGGGCAAGGAGAGGACAGACGAAGGAAACGATATGCATCCAGGACGGACAACATATAGGTCGGGCAAAATGAAGTCAGGCGAAGAAGGATGAGACAATCCACACGAAGTTGGGTAAGATGAATTCGGGCGAAGAAATGACTGATACGGAGGTCGGACAAGTAGAAGACAGACAAGATGAGACAGAGCAGCAGGTGTGCAGGTCGGGCAAAAAGCAGTTTTAAGACGGTTGAAAGAGGTTACAACCGGTGGGCGGATATGAAGGCACGACCTGGTTGTGACGGTTGACATAGGTTTTTAAATAGGTTGTTTCATATCCTAAAGAAACCATCTTCAATCAACATCAAATTTATTGAAATTTCTTTTGGGGATCATCATTTATTTTAGAAACCATCTTCAATCAACATCAAATTTATTGGAATTTCTTTTGGGGATCATCATTTATTTTAGAAACCATCTTCAATCAACATCAAATTTATTGGAATTTCTTTTGGGGATCATCATTTATTTTTTCAGTCTGTAGTACTTATTTTTCCTATTTTATTTATCTATCATACGGTGTCTAGAGATTCTTAATCTCAGACATTTATTTTATCAAATTTGAAGATAATTTCTATTTTCGGATTTTACTTTTATTGTTGAAAACGGCATCAACAATTGGCGACCACAGTGGGAGAAAAGCAAGATTGCTGATCCTACGTCAAGAGAGAATTTTATACAACTGAGGTCCGCCCTAATCATCGGAAGGATCCATATGGCAGGCTCACAACCTCAAGCATCGTCAACACCGGTGGGAGAAACCATTTCACCACCTGCCATGCCAAATGCAGGGGAAGTTCCCCAAGCACCCGCCGATTGGGTGTCTTATGTTCAACACTTGAACAATTAGCAAACTCTGGCTATGCAAAACTTGTTGCATGAGCAAAAAAATCTCATATTGCGTGAGCAACAAAACCTCATGCAAAGTATGTTAGATCAAGCTTTATCAAGGGTTACTCTTCAACGCACTCAGTCACCACCAGGGATGTCACCATCCAGATTACAAGCAAATTTTGCGGGACCTTCATATGTAGATAGCACTGTTCCAAGTGCCACTACTAGGGTTGACAGGGGAAAGACTCTTTTGACATACCCAAATAATGTTCCACTGGGTATCAGAGCCGAGCCAACCGTCCCCAGAGAAGAAAGATTGGGAGGTCAGGCTCATAATCCCATTCCTGTGTTCGACTCTATTCCACCGAGAGTGGATCTGGAAGACATTGCTCAAGTCTTGAGGGTGCATTTCGGAATGAATACTCAAACGATGAACAGGCCGGCATATCAAAGGCCATTTCCAGAGAGAATCATCAATAAGCATCCTCTTCCGAGGAATTATAGGCCACCAGATTTCCACTCTTTCTCGGGAGAATATGGAGCTTCAACCATTGAGCACGTGGGGCGCTTCACGGCTCAATTGGGGGAAATGGGCAATAATCTGTTTCACAAATTACAGTTGTTTGGATTATCTCTCAGAAGAACAATTTTCTCCTGGTTTGCCAATCTTCCGCTAGGACAGGTGCAAACTTGGGAAGGTTTGTAACCAGCTTTTCATGCAAAGTTCTTTAATCCTCTCCCGACGGTCTCACTCACAGATCTCTTGGAGATCCGGCAGATGCCAGAGGAGACCGCCTACCAATTCATAGAGCGAATACGACTTATGAAGGACGTTGCCCGACAGTCATTGAGGAGACCAAGATGACCAATTTGGTGGTCAGGAATATGCATACCAGACTACGGGAGGCTTTGACAGCCCATGATGTTCAAGATCTGGCCAGTTTAGCATCCAATGCGGGAATGTTGGAATCTCTTTTTAGAAAAAAAGATCACAACTTTCGGCGGAATAAGGTCCAATAGATGGCCATTGTCGATACAGAAATGTATGTGCCAGATGATGAGCAGGGAAGTAGCGTTGAAGAAATGGTAGCTGAAATTGTAAACGGCAAGCCTTATGTGTGTTCTAAACTGAAACCCCTTCCAGGGGCAGAGGAGCGGGAACAACCAACGTTTGACGCATCCAAGGCAGATGAAATCTTCGATATTCTGCTAGCGGATGGGCAAATTTGTATCCCTAAAGGACAGCGGTTAGCAACAAAAGAGGAAATAAAGGGAAGGTCATACTGTAAGTGGCATAACTCTTTCACGCATTACACTAACCAGTGTACGCATTTCCGAAAGGAAATTCAGAGGGCTATCAAAGCGGGGAGATTCAAATACATGACGATGGGAGTAGAGCAGCAGCCCTTCCCAAAGGTAACTACTGCTGTAATCTCTGTGCGATCTTCACAAGACACACAGAGAGATGATGAAAGAGATACCAAGCGAAAGGAGCGTAAGCAAAAGGAGCGAGACTTTGTTCAGGAGGACAAATTCAAGGTTTGTGAAACCAGAGTGGCAGAAAAATGGGATAAAAATGATGGTTCCTTTGAAGTGGAGTTGAAAGATAAAGCGGTAGTGCGAGATCGACCAACGCCCAAGCCACAACCAGTCCATGACAAGTGGAGTTGGAACAGAAAGCCTCTACCAATAGACATAGATCCCCGATTTCCAAGTATGAATCGTACACAAATCCGTAATGCTAAGCGCAGGTATGCGAGCGACCAATTACAGGAGCACAGGGAGATCGAAAGGCCTATCAAGAAGGCTAGGTGTTTTCGGTGTCAATTATGTAGACGGATCAACATCGATCCCGAAATAGAAGTTGTCGAAGAGAAGGCTCCTGAAATAATCTTTGGGACGTTCGCTCCAGTGGAAACGAGGGCTTTACGCAGCAAGATAGTGAAAACCGATAAAGCCGGGTTTGAAGTCAGGATGACTGGTATGCGGTGGTTAGAGGAAGAAGATGAGCCCATCTAGGCAAGGCTGGAGGAAGAGGAACGAGAATGGGCTGCAATGGCTGGCAGTCCCGGATATACACATGGCAGTCCCCCACCTATGGTTTTTCCACCTATACCAGAAAGAGCAATCCCACACTTGAAACCATTATATGTTAACGCTCACATTTGTGGTAAGCCGATTAACAAGGTTTTCATTGATAATGGAGCTGTCTTCAACGTCATGCCTCTCAAAACATTGAGGAAGTTGGGCAAAGAAATTGGTGATTTGTCTCCAGTAGATATCGAGATGACAAGCTTCACGGGGCAACCAACGAAACCAGAAGGGATGATAGTAGCTTTTATTGAAGTTGGACCGAAAGTGATTTCAACGGTTATTTTTTGTGGTGGATGCCAACACCACTTACTCGGTCTTATTAGGACGAGATTGGATTCATGCTTCCAAATGCGTGTCTTCTTTTTTCCATCAGCATATCATATTTTAGGAAGGAGATCAAGTGTTCAGAATGGACGCCAACACAAATCCGTTCGGCTCCATAGAAGTTGTGGAAAAGTCGGTACTTTATTCAGAGTACGTACCCTCCAATTTCACAGACAGCTGTGGTAGATGAATATCCCTGGAAGGGCTGTAAGCTCATTGCGCAGGGTTGTGTGTTTCATTAGAAACATTCTTCTGTCTTATGGCTCTGTTGTTAGCCAAAAAATTTACATTTATTAAATTTTAATTATGGAAGAAATAAGCAAATGTGACAAGCTGATTAGGCAGTTTTATTTAAATCAATTAATGTTAGACTACATAATAGGGAAGGTTCCAACAATAATGTTGACGAGAAAGAAGGTTTTCGCTGGCCTGATCTCTTGGAAACGACAGAACCTTCCTTGTCAACTCAGGATCCTCTCATTGAATACAATGTAGGAACCGAACAGGTACCCAAGATGGTCAGGGTAAGTGGTTTGTTGTCTAAAAACCAGCAGGAGCAAATGGTAACGCTAATTCGGGTTCACATGGAGTGTATGGCATGGGATTACTCCGAGATGCCCGGATTGGCACACGATTTGATAGAACATAGGTTGCTTATTAAGAAAGGGTTTAGGCCATATAAGCAACCACCAATAAGAGTTAGTCCAGAATTGCTACCCCAGATCAAAGAAGAGATTGAGAAATTATTGAAGGTAGGATTCATTCAACCATGTCGGTATGCAGAATGGTTAGCCAATATTGTTCTGGTAAGCAAAAAGAATGCCAAAGATTCGGATCTGCATTGATTTTAAAGAACTCAATTTAGCCACTCTGAAGGATGAGTATGTGATGCCCATAGCCAATATGTTGATCGACTCGGCAGCAGGGCATCAAATTTTGAGCTTGATAGACGGGTATGCAGGGTATAATCAAATCTCACTAGCGGAGGAAGATATACCCAAAACCGCGTTCAGATGCCTAGGAGCTTTAGGAATCTACGAATGGACGGTTATGCCGTTCGGTTTAAAGAATGCCGAAGCAACTTATCAATGGGCAATGAATACCATCTTTCATGATCTTATCGGGCAATCCATGGAGGTATATATTGATGATGTGATCATTAAGTCTAAAGACTTTGATACACACTTGGCGGATTTGAAAAATGTTTTTTTGCGGATGAAGCAGTACAACCTAAAGATGAATCCAACCAAATGTGCCTTTGGAGTTTCGGCAGGAAACTTCCTGGGTTTTCTAGTGCATGAAAAGGGGATAGAAGTCGATGCAAACAAAACCAAGGCTGTTTTGACAGTACAACCACCTCGGTCGGTCAAAGAAGTGCAAAGTTTGTTGGGTAAGGTAAATTACCTAAGGCGTTTCATATCAAATGCTGCAGGGAAGTTAAAACCCATCACAAAGTTACTAAAGAATAAGGCAACGGATTTCTCTTGGGGTCCGGAGCAGCAAGAGGCATTAACCAAACCACCCGTGTTGGTTCCCCCAAGAGGAGATCAACCTATTAGACTGTTTGTAGCAAACAGTTTCGATGTGATGAGCAGTCTGTTACCACAAGAATGGGAAGACGATAAGGAAAGGGCTATTAATTATTTAAGCAAAACTCTAGCAGGACCAGAGTTGAATTATACTATGCCCGAGAAAATGTGTTTTTCTTTAGTTTTTGCGTGTACTCGGTTGGAGCATTATATTCTGCCAAGAGAAACCGAAGTGGTTTCCAAAGTGGATATGATCAGATTAATTATGCACAAACCAACCATGCAAGGAAGGTTAATGAAATGGGCTATCAAGTTAGCTCCTTTCGCGCTGCAACACCGACCTATCAAAGCGGTGAAAGGGCAGGTTGTGGCCAAGTTGTTGGCTGAATTTTCGAACAACGAACCAGTGGAAAACAAAATGGTGCCGTATATAGGCAGTAGTCCTTGGAAAATGTTTTTTGATGGTTCTCGTTCAAAAGGGAAATCAGTAGCAGGAGTTATATTAGAAGGACCTGGAGCCCGCAAGATAAGTTTGCAACTTCAAATGGAGAAGATGACTCATAATTCTGCCGAATACGAATCATTTATTTTGGGTCTGGAAGCACTTGTGGCCAAAGGAGCGCAGACGGTTATGATTTGTGGAGATTCTCAACCAGTCATCAATCAGGTGTTAAAACGGTACGCTTGTAATTATCCTCATCTGCGTCAATATCGAGATTTGGTATATCACCTATTATATAGAATTGCGGAGGTGCTTATTGAGCATGTACCAAGAACAGAGAATCGACAAGCAGATAATTTGGCTCAGAATGCTTGTCAGCAAATAATTGGTAATGTTGATACCAATAATGATTGGAGAACAGAGATTATGATTTATCTGGAATCACCAAATTCTGTGACTCCTGTGAGCATTCGATTGAAAGCATTACGTTTCCAGCTTATTGAAGGGGTTCTATATAAGAGAACCTTTGAAGGAGTATTATTGAGGTGTTTGGGGCCAGAAGAATCCATCAAAGTAATAGAAGAAGTTAATGGTGGAATTTGTGAGGCACACCGAGCGGGATTAAATATGCGATGGGCTATTCATTGTATGGGATTCTATTGGCCAAAGATATTTGATGATTGTATCAGATTTGGTAAAGGGTGTCGGGAGTGCCAGAGGCATGGTCCATTAAATCATCTGCCAACGGTACATGATGTGACCATCATGACGGAATTGGACCCAATCATAATTCCTCATGGACCAATCACTAGGAGCCGAGCCCGTAAATTTCAATTGGCAATAACAAAGTGTGCCAAACTTCAAATGGATGCCACTGCTGAACTCTACAACGACGATCAAAATAAACCATGCATTCTTCTGGAAATTGGATCACAAGTCCCAAGGACCATAAGGCCAGGAGCACCTTACAAGGCATTGGACCTCCCCTAAATTACTATCCCTAATTGAAGGGATTCCATGAATCAATATCCCCTAAATGAAGGAATACCATAGATCAAGGGATTACCAATAATCATGGGATTGCCATGAATTATGGGTCAATAATACTAAATAAGGCTAATTATAATAATTATTCCCTATATGATTTTATTTCCTTTAAGAGTGTACTTTCTTGTTTTTAAATTTTCATGGTTCCTCTATAAAAGGACCCATGATTATCATTGTAAGATTATTCATTCCACAAAGAGATTTTATAAACTGTTTTTTTTTTCAAGAGCGATTCTTGTGCCTTTTTTAAGTGTAATCTTGAGTGATTCGGTTACAGCTTCATATCCCCAAATCGAGTTGTTTCGAGTGATTTGAAACAAGTCGTGGCCTCTCGAATAGTACTGGAACTATTCTTGCCTTAGCTTGTATTGTCAGCTTGTTTAGAGGATTGTGATACGTGAGCTTGATCTCTCGTGTTGCCTTCCCGACTACCTCTCAATTCAAGAGAGTCCAGTTTATCTCCATTAATATAGATATATATATATATAGCCATCCATCCCTTACTCTATCCAAATCTACAATATTTTTGTTACTTATTCTTGTGGAATTCGATCCGAACTGTTATCCTTGGCAAGTTCGCATCATCTGGTATCAGAGCTAGTTTATACAATCTCTTGATTGATATCACGGTTCATATTTGAAAACAAAAAAAAAATCCGAAAAAAAAAAAATCCGAAAAAAAAAAGAAAATACAAAAAAGAAAAGTTGAAAAAAAAAAAAAAAGACTTGAGAATATTTTGTTTTCCTTTTCTACATAACATTAATATATTTCTATATATTCTTATCCCTTTTCTCTCTTTCCATACATTTTTTTTTCTCTCTTAATTTTCTTTATTTAATATTTTCATTTCCATTATCCATATCCACTTCTTTCCAAAAAAAAAAAATTTATAATATTTCTCCTATTTTTATTTGATTATCTAAAGGTCTAATTACTTGTGATTTTTACTTGAAATTTCTTGATTTGGGAATTGCATTGGGTCGTTGACCAGTTTTATTTAAGTGAGTGAAACACGAGCGGAGTGAAAGAGTGTTTGTGGCGAGATCATTACATACCGGAGAGCGCGATTCAAGAGAGGAGAAACTTGTGTGAGGATATACCCTTGTTCTTTTACATTTTTTCTTTGATGGCAGGTGAAGAACACCCAGACGAGCGCCCTAATCCTCAAATCGCAGCGCTATCCAAAGCATTGGAAGCACAATTCACGAAGCAACTTACTGACGAGATGGACACCGTACACTCAATGTTGGCTGATCTTGCTCAATCTATTCGGGAATTGACAACTGAGCGACAGCAGGGCCGACCCGCCCCCGACGCTAGTCGATCTGCAAGGCGGAATCCTATATACCGAGGTAGGGAAGACGCTTCTGAAAATTTTGATGAAGAATGGGAGCCACCCCCTCCAAATAGAGACAACCGAAATCAAGATCCTATGAGGAACTTGAAGTTCAACATTCCTTCTTTCAATGGGAATTCTGACCCAGATGTTTATCTTGATTGGGAGAAGAAGATGGAGTTGATTCGAGATTGCTCTACATATGATGATAAGCAATGGACGAGAATTGTTGTAATGGAGTTCACCCACTATGCCCTTAATTGGTGGGAACAACTAAGTACGAAACGAAGGCGAGAAGGGAAGGCCCGGATCACCACATGGGATGGGCTAAAAAAGGCTCTGAGGAAACGATTCGTACCATCCTGGTATAGGAGGGAGCTACACGAACGAGTTCAACAAATGTCTCAAGGTAACAGAAGTGTAGAGGAGTATTACAAAGAGGTTGAGACAGCCATGATGCGGTCTGATATTGTGGAGGATCCTGAAGCAACCATGGCTTGATTCATGAGTGGAATCAACCGAGATTTGAGAGATACTCTAGAGCTACACCCGTATGTTGACTTGTCGGAATTGCTCCAACGTGCGATTTTATTGGAGAAACAACGCAAGCGAAAGGGGCGAGCGGATTCTTTCAATCGACCACCACCCCGGTCTACCCAAACTATCTTGGAGCCCCGAGGTATCCCTAATACTAACGTCAATAAATTTTCTAATGTTGACAAGGGAAAAAGTGTTGCGCATGTTGGCACAACTCGAAACCCACAAAAGGAATATGTCCATGGCAAGAATCCCCGAAACCGTGAAATTACCTGTTTTCGGTGTCAAGGGAAAGGGCACTATGCCTCTGAGTGCCCGAACAAGAAGGCCATGATCTTGACGGATGCGGGTGAAGTCGTCACCGACGATGAAGGAGATGTAGATGGTGAGCAAATTCTTGAATGTGAGGAAAGTACTGTTGAAGAAGATGATGAATACTCCAAAATCACGGTGGTAACTCTGCGGTCTCTTAGTACATTTCAAAAGGAGGAACCAACCCAAATGCAAAGAGAGAACATCTTCCACTGTCGTTGCAAAATCGAAGGCAAGATTTGCAGCATGATAATTGATAACGGAAGCTGCACCAATGTGGTTATTGAGACATTGGTCAAAAAGTTGAACCTTGTCACCAAGCCCCATCCGCGACCCTATCGATTGCAGTGGTTGACCAATAATGGGGAACTACGAGTAAATAAACAAGTTGAGGTAACCTTCCGAATTCGTGGTTATATGGACCAGGTTGTATGCGATGTTGTGCCAATGCAGGCTTGCCACATACTACTTGGACGGCCTTGGCAATTTGATCGCAATGTCACCTACTTTGGGAAGGAAAATACTTTTACGCTCACACATGAGGGCAAAAAGATCACTTTGACTCCCCTTACCCCCCAAGAAGCCCACACGGATCAGGAAGTGATACAAAAAAACCATGTTCAAGAAATGATGGCTATGGAGAAAGTCTCAAAATAAGCGGGAACTCAAAGCTCCATACAAGAGGCAGACATAAATTCCATGGCAAGTTCGTCTACGACCGCTCCATCGCGAGTTCCAAGAGTGATCCCTTCAGAAAAACGAGAGAAAAGTAAGGGAGTACCTACCAAAGATACCCTTTCCCAAATGGGGAGGAACAGTGACCAGGCCATATTTCTCACTCGAAAGGATATTAGATCCATTGAAGAGGATGAGAGTGATAGGATTTACATTTTGCTTTGTAAGTTTAATCTCCTTACAGCTTATGATTTGCAATCTAACTTGCCTCCAGAGTTCTATCCTGTTTTGCAGGAATTTTCTGATGTACTACCCAAGGAACTACCAAGCGAGTTGCCCCCAGTCCGTGGTATTGAACATCAGATTGATTTCATACATGGTGCTCAATTGCCAAATAGGCCGGCATATAGGGCCAACCCAGATGAGACCAAAGAGATCCAAAGGCAAATCCAAGACTTGTTAGATAAAGGCTGGGTGCGTGAGAGCCTTAGTCCATGTTCTGTACCGGTACTCCTCGTTCCAAAGAAGGATGGTAAGTGGCGTATGTGTGTAGATTGTAGAGCAATAAATGCAATTACTATTAAGTATAGACATCCTATTCCTAGATTAGATGATATGCTTGATGAACTTCAGGGTGCTGCTCTTTTTACAAAAATTGATCTTAAAAGTGGTTACCATCAGATAAGAATGAGAGAAGGAGATAAGTGGAAAACTGCTTTCAAAACTAAGCTAGGGCTGTATGAGTGGACTGTCATGCCTTTTGGCTTAACTAATGCCCCTAGTACCTTTATGAGATTGATAAATCATGTTCTTAGACCTTGCATAGGAAGGTTTGTGGTTGTTTACTTTGATGACATCTTGATCTATAGTAAGGACTTATCTGCACACATTGAGCATGTGAGAGAAGTTTTCACTTTATTGCGGCAGAACAAACTTTATGCAAATGTTGAAAAATGTGCATTTTGTGTTTCTAGTTGTCTATTCCTTGGCTATGTTGTTAGCGCACAGGGAATACAAGTCGATGAGGAGAAGATTAGAGCCATCCAGGAGTGGCCTGTCCCTACTACTGTTCGTGAAGTTCGTAGTTTCCATGGCTTGGCGGGATTCTACCGAAGGTTTATTCGTGATTTTAGTACTATTGCAGCCCCTCTCACTGCTGTTATTCGCAAGGATGAATTGTTTAGTTGGGGAGAAGCGCAACAACAAGCCTTCGACAAGCTGAAATATTTGTTAACTCATGCCCCAATTCTTAAACTCCCGAACTTTGAACTAACATTTGAACTTGAATGTGATGCTTCAGGTGTGGGTATTGGAGCCGTTCTAATGCAAAATCGCCAACCTATTGCATACTTCAGCGAGAAGCTAGGTGGCGCAACCTTGAACTACCCAACTTACGACAAGGAGTTATATGCCTTGGTTCGTGCACTTCAGGTATGGCAGCATTATCTTTTGCCAAAGGAATTTGTTATCCACTCAGATCACGAGTCCCTTAAGCATATAAAAACTCAGGCTAAACTAAATAAGAGGCATGCCAGATGGATTTCTTTTGTTGATACATTCCCTTATGTGATAAAATATAAGAAGGGAAAGGATAATTTCGTAGCTGACGCACTCTCTAGGCGCACTCACATTCTTACAATTTTGACTTCTCAATTGCTAGGGTTTTCACAGGTAAAATCATTGTATGCAAATGACATAGATTTTTCTGACATCTTCAATAAGTGTTCCAACAGTGGATTTAAAGATTTCTATTTGCATGAGGGCTATTTGTATAAGGCTAACCAGTTGTGTATTCCACAAGGTTCTATTCGAACTGTTTTAACTCACGAAGTCCATGAAGGTGGACTCATGGGGCATTTTGGAGCCACCAAAACTCTTAAACTTTTGCAGGAAAAAATTTATTGGCCAGGGATGCGTGCGGACGTGGAACAACACATTACACGTTGCATTACATGTAGACAAGCCAAATCCACAACGCTACCACATGGTTTATATAAGCCCCTGCCTACACCCGACACACCTTGGGTAGATTTGAGTATGGACTTCATTTTGGGGCTACCTCGTACAAAAGAAGGTAAGGACTCTATCATGGTTGTTGTCAATAGGTTTTCAAAAATGTCCCACTTTATTCCTTGCAATAAGACGAATGACGCAATGCATATTGCTAATTTGTTTTTCAAAGAAGTAGTTAGAATGCATGGAATTCCCCGTACGATTGTATCTGATAGGGACACTAAATTCTTAAGCTTTTTCTGGAAAAACTTTTGGGGAAAATTAGGGACAAAACTTCTCTTTTCTACCTCATATCACCCACAAACAGATGGTCAAACGGAAGTAACAAATCGCACCCTAGGCACTCTCCTTAGGTGTATTATCAAAAAGAATTTGCGTAGTTGGGAAAGTTGTCTCCCTCATGTTGAGTTTGCATATAATCGAGCTATCCATAGTGCTACTAACATGTCCCCTTTTGAAGTAGTGTACGGCTTCAACCAACTTTCTCCAGTTGACCTATTGCCACTACCATGTAGTGAGCGACAAAATGTTAATTTCAGGGATCGGGCACAAAAGATTCAGGAGCTTCATAAGACAGTACAAAAGGAAATTGACGCCACCAATGCGTGGAATGCCAAAGCTGCTAATCGTCACCGCAAGAAGATTGTCTTCCAACCCGGTGATTGGGTGTGGCTTCACTAACAAAAAGAGAGATTTCCGGCACAACGCAAGTCTAAGTTGTCCCCACGAGGCGATGGTCCCTTTCAAGTCGTTGAACGCATCAACGATAATGCCTACAAACTAGACCTCCCAGGTGAGTATAATGTCCATGCTACATTTAATGTTTCTGACTTGTCTCCGTTTGATGTAGGTGACGAGAGGTTGATGGGACAACCTTTTCAAGAGAGGGGGGATGATGTGACCATCATGACGGAATCGGACCCAATCATAATTCCTCCTGGACCAATCACTAGGAGCCGAGCCCGTAAATTTCAATTGGCAATAACAAAGTGTGCCAAACTTCAAATGGATGCCACTGCTGAACTCTACAACGACGATCAAAATAAACCATGCATTCTTCTGGAAATTGGATCACAAGTCCCAAGGACCATAAGGCCAGGAGCACCTTACAAGGCATTGGACCTCCCCTAAATTACTATCCCTAATTGAAGGGATCCCATGAATCAATATCCCCTAAATGAAGGAATACCATAGATCAAGGGATTACCAATAATCATGGGATTGCCATGAATTATGGGTCAATAATACTAAATAAGGCTAATTATAATAATTATTCCCTATATGATTTTATTTCCTTTAAGAGTGTACTTTCTTGTTTTTCAATTTTCATGGTTCCTCTATAAAAGGACCCATGATTATCATTGTAAGATTATTCATTCCACAAAAAGATTTTATAAACTGGTTTTTTTTTTTCAAGAGCGATTCTTGTGCCTTTTTTAAGTGTAATCTTGAGTGATTCGGTTACAGCTTCATATCCCCAAATCGAGTTGTTTCGAGTGATTTGAAACAAGTCGTGGCCTCTCGAATAGTACTGGAACTATTCTTGCCTTAGCTTGTATTGTCAGCTTGTTTAGAGGATTGTGATACGTGAGCTTGATCTCTCGTGTTGCCTTCCCGACTACCTCTCAATTCAAGAGAGTCCAGTTTATCTCCATTAATATAGATATATATATAGCCATCCATCCCTTACTCTATCCAAATCTACAATATTTTTGTTACTTATTCTTGTGGAATTCGATCCGAACTGTTATCCTTGGCAAGTTCGCATCAGTAGAACTACAAGCGATGGTTAAGCCGTGGCCATTCAAAGCTTGGGCGTTGGATGTAATAGGGAAAATCCATCCGACGTCATCAAAGCAACATTCATTCATTCTGGTAGCAACCGATTACTTCACCAAATGGGTAGAGGCAGTCCCTTTGAAGAATGCGACGCAAAAAGAGCTCAATCACATTATTTATCGATTTGGGATTCCCCTACCCTTATGGCCGATCAAGGTTTAATGTTTACCGGGGAGAAATTTGTTGAATTTTTGGCCGAATTTAACATCAAACTGCATTATTCTTCACCTTTTTACCCACAGGCTAATGGGTTGGCTGAAGCGGCAAATAGAATTGTCATCGGTATCATCCGAAAAATGGTAGAGGAAAATCCAAGGAAATGGCACACATTGTTGTCTCAGGCATTTTGGGCCCATCGAAATAGTAGAAATACGTCTACTGGATTCTCCCCATACCAATTAACGTTCGGGCAAGACATTGTTCTACCAGCGGAATTTGTTGTAGCTTCACCCAAAGTGGTTAATACAACAACAAATATTGATGACGTATGCACAAGGGATGTGGCAACAACTGGAAGAGGTGGACACAGATTGATTAAATGTTCTGGATCGAGTATTTAGACAGAATAAGATCAGAACAAAATATTATGGAAAAAGAGTGTCCCCAAAGAGTTTTGCAGAAGGGGATCTGGTGTGGAAAACAATTTTGCCCACGTATAAGAAGGTGGACCAATTAGGGAAATGGTCTCCCAATTGGGAAGGTCCTTTTATCATTCACAGAGTTATTGGAAATGAAGCTTTTATTATTATGAACCAAGAAGAAAAGCTAGTACATGAAAATATTAATGCTAAGTATCTGAAAAGGTATTACCCTGCCTTTTCGGAACATTGTCATCGATTCTTATTACAAAATCTAGGAACCCTTTTAAAGGGTTCCTAGATTTTGTAATAAGAATCGATGACAATGTTCCGAAAAGGCAGGGTAATACCTTTTCAGATAAAGGGTTCGAACCTATAGCGAAGGGTTCTTTAGTCATCATCCGAAAGGGTGACGCAAGGGTGATTGTCTTTTGGTTCATAGGTTTCATCCCAACTCGCAGAAACCATTTCAGGTTCTTCATCTAGGAGGTCGTCTAAATCAAGACGTTAACGATCCCATTGATCTTGCATTTCTTGAAAGTCTTGTTCGGTGTGGACTTTCATGTCTTGTAGAGATTGGCTTTCTCGTTCAACAAGAACATGCAACCTGGAGAGTGTTGATCTTTGCTGGTGGAAAATGTTGTTCCAACTGAGGTCTTGGAGAATTGCCGAAACATGATGGTTTATCATGTCCAGATGATTATCAAGATCAGATATGCGGGTGAGAATATCAGTAAAAGGTTCATAGCTGGTGGATATACGCTCCATTAAACGGATTGTGTGATGTATGGTTCTTCTTCCTCTGCCAGAGAATTTAAATTTAAAGTCCAGTTGTTTGAGCACCTGTATCATGTCCTCGGCATGATGTCCTATGGGGTGTTTTCCCACAACGAATGGTTGCAAAGAACCCTCCCAGTTGGAAGAAATAACACGAATGCAGGGAAAAACCATTTGGATGTGAATATCAGTTTGTGTTGGTGATATTCATGGTAAGAAAATATGAATTATTTATACATGCTAAAGTATGTAAATTGCAGACTTAGTCAAGGAACAAAAATTGTGGATCTATGTTCTGAAGAATAGATTACAAGACTAAGTTTTAAAAGCTATATATATACATCATTGTGGGGATAGGAGGGCCCTCAGGGCGGCTTGGAGGTCGGCCCACTTCAACTCCGACCTGGTTGCCCGACGACGCTGATAGGCCTCCTAATGGCCTCTGACGAGTCTCATCCGTATGCTTGCTTGGAGTTGGTCATAGAGACTCGTCTGTGTTTGGCGGTGTTCTTGCATAAGGAGACCTCTTTCCTGGATACTGCTATCCAGGGACTCCAATTGTTGATTCAAGCGCTTGAGTTCTTCCGTTTTTTTAGAGATCTCAGCCGCCAGTGTTTGGCGCGACTGTTGGAGTTCGTCCAGCGTAGCCTTGTCGTGATCAAGGTCTTCATTGACCTTTTTCAAAGAGGCTTCGAGGCTAGCTGAGTCAGCGGTCGGCTGAGATGATGTGGCCTCAGATGATAGAGGTCGGATCAAGGGCAATTCAGCCTGGAGTTCTGTGATCCTCTCCATCATCCGGTCAAGTATGGGAGGAGCCTCCGAGTCCAATGGGTGCTCCACTAACAAGTTTATCACGACCTGAACCAAAGCCTCGAGGTCGGCTGAACTCAGGTCGGCGAAAGGCAAGTCAGCGCAGCATGCTACGATTGGTCGGGCCGGAGTAGGGAGAGTCACTCGGGTCAGCACACTCATCTCTTGGGCAGCCTAAAATAAAAATGTTAAGGTATAAAGAAGCAAAAATGAACTCATTAAAATAGACATGGAGTTGAAGCATACCTGATGGAAAGCAGCCGTAGTCTCAGAAGGGGCCATAATCCGAAACACCGCAGGTGTCGGGCCTATGACCGACTCGTCTGCTGGTTGCAGACGGTGGGAAACGGCTAGCTCCATACCCTGAAAGAAGAATGTTAAGTAAGGAAGAAGAAAGGAAAGTCGGGAAATGGATGAGGGAGATTACTAACCGAACCCCTTGGGGCAAAATTGACCGAAGCCTCGCCCGACTTCGAGGAAGAGATCTCCTCTATGTCATGAGGCGGCGGGATCGGTTGGACTGGTTGGAGAGTAATCAAAGGATCCTAGCCCATAGGTTGGGCGGCCGGCTGCAAGGGCAGCGCAGCAGCATGGTCGGGTGGTGCCACGACTGGGTCGGGCAATTCCACGACCTGGTCGGGTTCGGGCACCACCGCGACCGGATTAGGTTCCTAGTTGAAATAACAATACAAAGGTCAGAGAATTATAAAAGAAAGAATCATGTAAAGATATCTTGACAGTTACCTGTGATATTGCGGGGCAGACGAAGGCAAAATTGGAGGAGACGTCTGCCTCCCCGATGGTTCCTCTGGCCGACGGATCATTGGCAGCTCCTCTTCTGTAGGAAGAAGAGTCGGTTGAGAGATGGCTGGTGGATTGCTGGGGTTGTCCTATCGGAAAGAGAGTCAAAGTTAGTAAAAAATTGAGCAAGTATTTTCCTTGAAAGGGTTTAAGGAAATAACTTACCTCGGCCGGCGGGCCTTGGAGGGTCGGTTGCTCGGCCAGGGTCGGTGCTGCGGCAGTCGGTGGAATGGCGGTTGGAGTAGAAGTTGATGAGGATAACTGCCTCACCGTCGGGTCCTCTCCCGATGGAGAGGAAGTCAGAGTGAGGATGGTTAAGTTGCGGTCGGTTGAGGATCAGCTGGCTGGGCTGCGGTCGGCAGAGGAGAATCTGAAATGATGATCGGTTGAGTCTCGGTCGACTGAGGGGCAGTCGGTACCATGGTCGGTGACAGTGCAGGGTCCTCTGAGATAAATATAATTAGGGTTAAAAAGGGAGATATATTGAAAAGAATATATAAAAAGGGAAGAATTTACCAAATTGCTTTCTTAAGTATTTCGGTAGCCCGCTCGTGTGTACCGACAGAGATGCCAGGTACTCCTCGATGGCCTGTCTATCGATGATAGGGGCACCTTTTTGTTTCTTTTTCTTTCCAGACCCGCCTTCGGCCGGTGCCTGCCTTTTCCTTCGGGGAGCAGAAGCTAATCGAGGAGAACCCAGTGCCAATGCTGGAGGCAGGAGAAGTTTCCCGACCAATTGGTCGGTTAGAGGAGCAAGTAGAGGCCAAGTGGCCGACCACCAGGCAGGGAATGCCTTAGCCGAAGAAGGTTTAGGGCGGAGAGGTAAGTAGGAGTTGGAGGTAATGTAGGAGGTGAGTTGAGAAAGGTAGGTCGGGATGAGCTCGGGGATCACCACCCCTTCTGGGCTTTGGGGTATAAGGTGTGGTCGGGCTAGTGGTCCCGGTAGACCCTGACAGCAACCGAATTGTCGGGCCAAGAATTGGGGCTGATAATTAAAAGTATAAAGTGATCTATGGTTTTTCTTGTCCGACCTCTTACTGGAAAATAGAGATCGGGGCTTCATGGCGGAATCCCAAGAAAAGGGATAGGTTGGATGGGGACGAGGATCGGGATAGGATCGAGGATATGGTGAGTCGGGGAAAAGCCAAAAAAGTTCAGTAGCGTATTGTACAAGGGTTTCATATACATAAAAGCAGGAGTTGTTACGGTCTTCGGTCAAAATTTGGGTGATGATGGGGTCGGATGGATGAAGATTAGAAGAACTAGGAGTTAGTCTGGCCAGGGCAAAACCTATGGACCTTTGGGGGTTCGGGGTGATAGGTAGTCGGCCAAAAAAGGCATTTGGGAAATAAAGATGGAGCCACAGCTCCAAGAACCATAATGGTCCCGAAGCAGCTGTGTCCGCCTTTTTGGTGTCGGTTAGGCGGGTGCTCACTCGGGATAAACCCTCAAGAAGATTAGCCAAAAATAAAGTGCCTAAGGAAAAAAATTGGCCACTGGCCAGATGGATGGCCAGATCGACCTGAGAAGATAGAACGAGTTTGGAGGGGGAGAGAATGATATATCAAAAAAGAAAGAAGAAATCCAACTAAATATCCAACTTTGAGCTTACAGAAAAAGCATAAGGAGGAGAAAGTGTACCTGCACAACCAAAAAAGAAGGAACGCCGTGTGCTCTAATTCAGAAACTAGGGTGCCTTCCTCACCCCAAAACATGGTAACAAAGCCAGTCCAGCTTCTCTCCTTCTCAGGAAGCCTGGCTAGAGCCCAACCAGCGTGGTCGGGTGAAGGTTCCCGACCTTCAAAGGAGACCATGACAGGATCATCGCCCACTATAGGTAAATGGGCGATAAGAGCCACGTCCATAAGGGTCGGGCCAATAGGGCCAGAAGGGAGAAAGAACACTCCCATCTGGGCGTGCCAGAAAGCTGCCATCGCCAGCAAAGCCTTATCGTGGAGATGAAGGGGTTGAGTTGACAGGAAGATGGCTTTATAGATGCCCTGCCTCCGCCATCGTTCTTGATAATGGGGGAGCAGTCTCGTGTGCCATTTGCGGAAGGCATCTTTGGGGTCGGTGAGGTGAGTCCTGATGCTGTCCAGGAGACGTTCCAGAGAAACTTGACAGATGACAGACTTCATACGATCAGCATCCTCATTGGTGGTGCAGTAGGGGCGAACGGTGGGGGTAAGGACCCTCGAAGCCACAAAGGGCACCGAGGGGTCAGTTCCGTCAAAAGGGAGAGCAGGAACATACTGTTGAGCCATTTTCAAATGAGATGTAGAGAATGAAGGAGAAAAGGTTTTTGGAGGAGAATGTTTGCTAGAGAAAAAATAAGGATTCAAGATTTTGAGTGCGTGAATGTGGAGGGTGAGAGAAGGGTTTTTCATAAACCCCGCGATGTGACATGAAACAGTATAATGATGGCACTGTTCTGCAAACCCCTAAATGTCACGTCTCACACAGTCCAAGAAGCGATGCTTAGGAGTCAGGCTGGGGAAGGCAAGTTGTTGAGCAAGGAAAACCAATATGTAGGTTTTTCGAGAATGGGCCTATAAAATTGGACTAAGGATTGGTGTAGAGTCTAATGGGCCTAT